CCCGGAGTGAAGCTGGGCCGTGAGTACTAGAGGCGCCCGTGGGGGGTTGGTGATCGGGGTTCCCAAAGCTCTTCAGACGTCGATCAGATTTTTTCGTATGCTTAGGTAGGAGGTCGAGGTCACCGTTCCTCCAAAAACTGGGATCTGAGCCCTCTCCCTCCCAGAAAAAGGAGTTTTGGGGTTACCATCTCTTGGACTTTATGATCAGAACTACTAATACTCAAAGAATCAGGGGTCACAAGTCCCTATTCTAATATCGAGGCCCAGGGTCCTTGAGCCTTAAAAGCAGAGATTTGACAGTGCCATCCATTAGAGTATAAGATCAGAGGTCATAGTAGGTTGCAAATGGGGATCTAGGGCTGCTGTCCCCTAAAAGAACAAGAATAAGACCACCCCCCACGAAGAGGGATCTGTATTTGCTCTCCTTCAGAGGGTGGAGATTTGGAGTGAATATCACTTAGAAGAGGAATTTGGGGTTATTGTGTCCCTAGAAACAGGGTCATAGCTTTCCATACCTGGTACTCACATCTCCTCTTGTAAAACCAAAACTTGGCATCATTACCCACCCCAAATATGTAGAGCTGTATCCTCAATGGTGGGAATTAATAGTTGCTGCTGGTTAGAAATAAGGAAAGGTTGGAGTCAGCATATCTTTCAAGTCCATAGTCACTATTGTAAAATACATGGCTTGGTGAGTCTCCTTTAACAAAAATGAAATGGAGGCAGAGAGGCCACAGTTTCCTATAGAATATGGATCTGAGATTATACTTCTTTTAATCAGTGGTCTGGGTGTCATCGACTGAAAAAAATAGTGATGTAGGATTATCTTTCTCCAAAAGAACGTCTCAGGGACCCCTCAAAATGAATTTGGTTCATCAGTTCTTCAAATAAAAGGGGTCACTGTCCCCTAAGAATAGTATCAGGGTTTGCTACCATTCAGAGAGTAGGAATTGGGAATTGAAGCTTTCCTTCAAAGGACTGAGGGCGGAACAGCCCTCTGATAATAGAGATCAGGTTCATTATTCTCACATTTTGGTGCTTGTCCATTAGGGACTACCCACATACAGGGAGGGGTCTGGTACTCGACCACACAGATGAAGAGGTCAGGTTAATGCCTTTTCTAATCCCAAAGTACCAAAAAGTGGGGATCAGAGCACTAGTACCATACCAAGAGAGGACATTCATTTTTGTCACCAAGAACCAGTGGTGAAGTTACCAGCTCCACCAGAGAGGACTTAAGGGTTCCCTATCTTCTAGGCTGTGAGAAAGGATAGTGTTTTTCTAAAGTAAGAGTACCTCAGGGTTACCTCTCCCTTAGTGGAAGAGGTTAGGTCAGGCTTTCCCCAAACAGGAGGGGCTAGAGGGCAGTAGGTTCAGAGTGGATGGATTCAACATCTCGGGGATGTTGGCATCTTCCAATAACAAGAGGGACCAGTGATTTGCTGCTTCTTAGAAATAGAAACTAGGGATTTCCAATCCTTGAACAGCAAAGAGGATAGGGGTCAATGTCTTCCCATATGGAAGGAGGTAGGATTTAGGGTTCCCTGAAGCGAAGAGAGGAAAGGCCACTGGGAGGGTTCCAGCAGCCACCTTTCCTCAGAGAGAGAGAGAGAGAGAGAAGGGACAAAGAGGCCCCCAGAGAGCTTCCTGTAGAGGTTTCCCTTCCTCCCACAGCCCAGGGAGGGGATGGTGGCCAAATGGGAAAAATCAGTGGATCGTGTGTCCTCTTTGTTCCCCAGGTGACAGCGGGAAGGTGACAACAGTGGTAGCCACCCTAGGCCAAGGTCCAGAGCGTTCCCAAGAGGTGGCTTACACAGACATCAAAGTGATTGGCAATGGCTCATTTGGGGTCGTGTATCAGGCACGGCTGGCAGAGACCAGGGAACTGGTTGCCATCAAGAAGGTTCTTCAGGACAAGAGATTTAAGGTAGTTTGGGTACAACGGGAAGAGGGTTTGGGGACTGGATATGACTAGTGAGTGAACCCTAGCAAGAAAGCTGGAGCCTGGGGTTTCAGAAGTATCTGAACATAGGCTAGAGGAGACAGGGGGAAAGAAGGAAGTGAGTTGTGTGGAAGATGGGAAATGTGGACTCCAGGAGAGCCCAGAGCTGACATTTATCCAGCTTTCGCTCAGTGTAAGTGCTTTATAGGCAAGTTCTTGTTTAACTTATATATTCTCTGAGGGTAGGTATTGTTGTTATACCCATTCTAAGTATAAACAGAGACTGAGTCTCAGATAAGAGAATTGCCCAAGGTTGTGTAGTAAATGTCCCTCTGCCTTAACCATTGCTCTCCTTCCTAGAGGAGAAAGGAAATTGGCAGGGCTGACATGGGTGGGTTCTGAAGATTGTGCTCTGCCCAGGTGTTTGGCCAGGGCAAGGTGGAATGGAGGTGCCTTGTGATCTAGTGGAGACCCAAGGTATTAGATGGCGATGGGGAAGATGGAAGCTGAGGAATAATTGGTGTTTGAAGGACTGGCGTTTGAAGCTTAGGCTAGTCTTGATGTGGAAGAATTGAGCCTAGGCTGGAGGGGGAACTCTTGAGCAAGAGGAGCTCAAGGTGTCAGTCAGAAGTTGGTTAGAGTTGAGTTCCAGAAGTGAGGGGGCAGGGTGTTTCTTGGCTCCAGAGGGGAATAGAGAGTGGGGGAGTACGCCAAGACTATGCCTTCTGGGAGGAGGCTAAGGCCTAGATTCTGGGACTCAGGATCCTAGCTGAAGTTTAAGGAGTCAAAATACTTCCAGGGGAAGCAATAGGGAGTGATGGGAACTAGGGTGAAGTGAATGGCTACTACTTGTCTATTTTCATTTGTGCCATATTGGGGGGGCCAAATTTCATATAGCCACACCTGATTTTTCTATTTTTTTTTTTTTTTTTGACTTATTGTAGAGATGAGGTCTTGTCAAGTTGCCCAGGCTGGTCTCGAACCTCTGGACTCAGGTAATCCTCTCACCTCTGCCTCACAAAGTGCTGGGATTACAGGCATGAGTCACTGTGCCCAGCCTGATTTTTCAAGGAAGGCTGGAAACTGGATTTATAGCCAATGAAAGTAAAGTCATTTGATTACAAATTTTTAAAATTATCCTTTTCTTCCCTTTGTTTACTGACACTAATCAAAAGGGCATGGTGGTTCACGCCTATAGTCCCCAGCACTTTGAGAGGCCAAGGTTGGAGGATCCGTTAAGGTTAGGATTTTGAGACCAGCCTGGGCAACATGGGAAGACCCTGTCTCTTAAAAAGAAAAAAAAATTAGCTGGGCTCAGTGGCTCAGCCTGTAATCCCGTGCCTTTGGGAGGCTGAGGTGAGTGGATTGCCTGAGCCTGCGGGTTCGAGACCCGTCTGGACAGATGAGACCGCATCTCTACAATAAATCAAAAAAATTAGCCTGGCGTGATAGTGCATGCCTGTAGTTCCAGCTACTTGGAAGGCTGAGGTGGAAGGATCGCTAGAGCCCAGCAGGTCGAGGCTGTGGTGGCTGGGAGCGGCCACTGCACTCTAGTCTGGGCGACAGAGTAAGACTCCAACTCAAAAAAAAACAACATTAGCTGGCATGGTGGCGCACACCTGTAGTCCCAGCTACTCAGGAGGCTAAGGTGGGAGGATCACTTGAGCCCAGGAGTTCGAGGCTACAGTGAGCTATGATCATACCACTGTACTCCAGTCTGAGTGATAGGGCAAGACCCCTATCTCTTAAAAAACAAAAAAAGTTGATTTTTAGGTGCTAATGATGCATTGAGATTTTTTTAAAAAGTGGGCTAAAGAAAACACATCTGTGGTCTGGGTTTAACCCACAGGCCTCCAGCTTGTGTAAGAGGGGGATGGGCTGGGGGTGAGGAATTGGGGATACCTCAGGGAGCCTTGGAGGAGTAGCTGTCTGACCTTTTGGCAGGAACGGGGGAGTAGGGCTGTGGTGAGGTGTGCTAGGGAGGGGAGGCAGAGACTTGGTTGTATTCTAAGAATCTCTTTTTGCCCTCAAGAATCGAGAACTGCAGATTATGCGTAAGCTGGACCACTGCAATATTGTGAGGCTGAGATATTTTTTCTACTCCAGTGGGGAGAAGGTGAGCCCTTGGGGTAGCTGGGGGCAATGGGGGTGGCTCCACCTCGACTCCACCTATTTTTCTGCCTACCTTTTCCATGAGTGCCAGTCCTTCCCTTGCTATTCCCTACATACCTTCCCTTTCCTCTCCCTCACTCTTCTCATAATGCCTCACACTTCTTCACTCTGCAGAAAGATGAGCTTTACCTAAATCTGGTGCTGGAATATGTGCCCGAAACAGTGTACCGGGTGGCCCGCCATTTCACCAAGGCCAAGTTGACCATCCCTATCATCTATGTCAAGGTAGGCAAGCAGGCAGGCTGCTGGGCCCCAGGCCCACAATGCCAGGGGCTCCAGAACCTCCTGCCTTTAGTGGGTTTTCCCTTGCCTCCATATTTATATTGGTCTCTGGAGGCCCCATGCCTTTTGCTCTTGCCCCTGTAACCCTTAGAGCTTCGCAAACTCAGAGGGATGGTCAAGGCAAGGCCTGACTGAATCAGGGAGGCAGCCTGACCGGGGGCTGAGGAGGCTTGCTGGGGTCCTGCAGGGAGCCCTGTGCCACCAGGGATGTTGGGGTTAGCTTAGAATAAGGAAATGGTGGGGACCAAGAATGCATAGGGTGAGCTGCTGAAGTCATAGTCCAGGCCTTTGGAGCCTTGGTGGATGGGTAGGCGGGAAGGAAGTTAGGATTGGAGGAGGACTAGTATCCACAGAGCCAGGAATACATCTCCATCCGTCATCTGTGCAGGCTTATTCCCTAGTGCCTGGCACCGTACCCTGGGTGTTACAGATCTTCAGGAGGTGTTTGAATGAATGAATGAATGATTGAAGCCCAGGGATGATGTGGAGAACAGGCTGGAGCAGTCTGCTGCAATGAAAGGAGGTGGGTGGGTTTGTTGGCTGGAGGCTGCTTGGGGCCCAGCTGCTCCTCCTGCTGGCTTTAAGCACCCCGAGCTTGGGTGAGCTGACATGGGCTTTATTGTAGACCTCACCTCCTGGGAGGGGAGTTCTCAGGTTTGCTGAATCTGCCTTGTGGCTGCCTGCATACTGAGCCAGTGCTGAGCAATTCCAGAGGCACCACTGACTGAGACCCAGGGCTTGCCCTTGAGGAGCTCTCAGTGTAATAGGGTAGACAGGCATTGTCACAGAGAACTGTAAAACCAACCAGCAACTATAAGACGTAACTAGCGCTGTCCTGGGCAACATAGTGAGAGCTTGTCTTTACAAAAAATAAAAAAATTAGCTGGGCATGGTGGCATGTGCCTGTAGTCTCAGCTACTTGAGAGAATTGCCTAAGCCCAGGAGGCTGAGGCTGTGGTGAGCTGTGATTGTGCCACTGCCCTCCAGCCTGGGTGACAGCAAGACCCTGATTCAAATAAAAAACAAAAAAAGAAATAGCTGCTGCCATACTAGAGGGAACATAGAGAATTCTGAAAACAGGAAGTGCCCGGCCTGGTTTGGGGATGAGAAGGATCAAGGAAGACTTCCAAGAGGAGACTGGGGACAGGCAAGGAAGTAGCATATCGGGCCAAGGAGGATGGGAACAAAGGAGGAGGGGGCCTAGGAAACAGCCCTGTGTATGGTGAAGAAATCAAGCTGTTATGGGCCAGGCCTTGGGAGTTGCTGTACTGACTGAAACTCAAAAAAGATCCTGCTCTCAGAGTGCTTCCTTTCTGGTCAGTAGGAGGGAGAGTGGCAGGAAGATGGAGCTGGAGAGAAGGCTAGATCGGTGTTTTTGACAGTTAGATTAAGGAGGCCGAGACTTCCTTAGAGCCCATGATTTTGGTGAGGGGGAAACTGAGTGCCTGGCTCCACAGCTTGCTTTATGACAAGGCCTTCAAACGTATCTGTCTTACTCATCAACCTTCTACCAAGGGATATGATTAAGGCAGTAGTTCTCAAAGTGTGGTCCAGGGACCAGCATCAGCACTGGAGGGCTTGTTGCAAATGCCTCATCCTGAATTCACTGATCAGAAACTGCGAGTGGGGCCCAGCATTCCCTGTTTTAACAAGTCCTCCGTGTGGGTTGGTGCACATTAAAGTTTGAGAACCAAGAGCTCCAAAAAAAGGGTTTTCCTGAAGCCAGGGGGCAGCAGGGAGAGGGGGCCTGGAAGGGATCTTCAGGCCAAGACACTGAAGCAGTGGTATGTTGCGTGGAGAGAGCTGGGCCGAAGTTCTGCTGTCTTGTGCCTGTCCCAGGTGTACATGTACCAGCTCTTCCGGAGCTTGGCCTACATCCACTCCCAGGGTGTGTGTCACCGTGACATCAAGCCCCAGAACCTGCTGGTGGACCCTGACACTGCTGTTCTCAAGCTCTGCGATTTTGGCAGGTGGGCCTGACCTGGGGCATGCTGGGTGGCTGAAGAGGTGCTGGGGGACCCCCAACCCTTGCCTTAAGTTTACAACAGCCCATCTCTTCCCACAGTGCAAAGCAGTTGGTCCGGGGGGAGCCCAACGTCTCCTACATCTGTTCTCGCTACTACCGGGCCCCAGAGCTCATCTTTGGAGCCACTGATTACACCTCATCCATCGGTCAGATATGGGAGGGTTGGGGAGGGAGGGGAATGACAGTTTTGGTAGTTTTTGAATTTTCTGTGTGCTGTGTGCCAGGCTTGATGGTAAAGGCTTAACGTCTGTTCTTTTACCCTGTCCTCACAAATTGAGGGGCCTGATGCTGTTTGTATGCTCACTTTACAGATGAGCATTCTAAGGCTTAGATCTGGGAGGCTACCTGCCTGTAGTTGCACTGCTGGGCCTGGGTGGGACTGGGATTTGAAAGCTGACTTGACTCTAGAGTCCATGCTAGCTCTGGAACCTTCCAGTCTGTTCTCAGCTGTAATCTTGGGGGAACCCCGAGGCAAGGCTTTGCCACCAAGAGGGTACGACCTGCTCCCAGGGCCTCTGTGTCCTTCCCTGTTGGTAGGAATGACAGTGCTACCTTCCAAGCACGAAGGGAAGGGTGAAATGAGGGAATGTATGTAAGAATTTGAAAGAAAATGTTCATCAGCAGCGTGGGGGAACTGTATGGTCCTTAGGTATGAACTTGTACTGTGGGGGTCAAGGTCTAGACCAGAGCTGGGTGAGGCTACCAGGCTGCTGCTGTACCCAGGAGCAGGATAGAAGCTGGGAAGTGAGAAAGGTAGCCCAGTCTTCCTGTGACTCAAAGAACACAGGTGCTCGTTGGCAGGTTTGGGCCTGGTGTGGTCTGTCCTCCACGGCTAGAGGCAGAGAAAGAGCAAAGAGCTCATTAGGGCTGCCTAGTGGAGAGAGACAGTGAGGGCTGGAAATACACTTATACTGGAGAATGCAGACCTAGAGGGTGGGGGGGTCAGGGTCAGGCTCATGTACCTCAGCTGAGTATGACCTTGGGCCATGTGCTTCCTTTCTGAGGTGAGAAAATGGGGCTCCTGCCGCCTCTCAAGATTGCTGTTTGGAATAGAAGTGTTTGTGAAGGGATGGGCCTTGGTGGCCCTGCTTGCCTAGCCCTGACTCTCTCCCATTTCCCTTCAGATGTGTGGTCAGCTGGCTGTGTACTGGCTGAGCTCCTCCTTGGCCAGCCCATCTTCCCTGGGGACAGTGGGGTGGACCAGCTGGTGGAAATCATCAAGGTGAGGGGTGGGGCCAGGGTAGGCAGAGGGTGGGGCTGAGGGATAGGGACCCTTCTCAGATATCTCATTCTCTCTACAGGTGCTGGGAACACCAACCCGGGAACAAATCCGAGAGATGAACCCCAACTACACGGAGTTCAAGTTCCCCCAGATTAAAGCTCACCCTTGGACAAAGGTGGGGCAGGTCTAAGGGTTCAGGCAGCATGGCTGAGGGTGGGTCCTCCCCCTTGGAGGCCAACTGGTAAAGGGACCTGGCTTCAGACTCACAGCTTGGGAGGATTTGAATAGTTATCCAGGGATTAGTAACTTCTGCCAAATTTCAAAGTATATAGAATTTTTAAAAGTTGAGAATTCACACATAAACTCAAAATTGCCATTTTTATGGTGGGGAAACCACCTCACAGCAGGGCTTATACAGTCACAGAACTTGGACTGACTGCTCACATGATACAAACTGAGCTCCCTTCAGTGGTTGTACCTTAGTTTTGTCATCTGGAAGGTGGGTTTGTGGGAAGCAGCCAGCCATATTTGCCACAGGCACAGTGGCAGTGAGATACAGGAGTATGCCAGTGCCGATGGCATCTCTCACCCCCATGCCTTGTGTACCCCGCCCCCCAGGTGTTCAAGTCTCGAACGCCGCCAGAGGCCATCGCACTCTGCTCTAGCCTGCTGGAGTACACACCGTCCTCAAGGCTCTCCCCACTAGAGGCCTGCGCCCACAGCTTCTTTGATGAACTGCGATGTCTGGGAACCCAGCTTCCCAACAACCGCCCGCTTCCCCCGCTCTTCAATTTCAGTCCTGGTGGTGAGAGCACAGCCTAGGATCTGGGGAGCTGGAGGGGAAGCCAAAGATTGTGAAGAGCTTGCTGAATTGGAGTGGGTAGCTGAGGGTGGGGTACCAGGAAGGTCTGGGGTTCGGGGCGAACTGAACCTGCTTCAGTTGTACTCTACTTTGATCTGCCCTGTGCTAACTTCTGATTTTTCATTTAAAGAGTTCTGTGGTTGAAAGTGTCCACAGGCAAGGGGCCTTGCCAATAGCTGGGTCCCTGTTTGGCACCCCATCATAACCCTGACTGAGTCTCTAGATGCTCTGCCTCTACCCTGACTGGGCATGTCAATTCCTGTCTTTAGAACTCTCCATCCAACCATCTCTCAACGCCATACTCATCCCTCCTCACTTGAGGTCCCCAGCGGGCACTACCACCCTCACCCAGTCCTCACAAGGTAAGTTGGGGGCCATTTGCTGTGGGTTAGAGCAACATTTCTCTACCTGGGGAGTGTGGGGCTGTTCTAGTCGCTGTTGCAGGTATTTTTAAATTGCAGACATTGTGATGGCATAGAAAGCATATTTTACATGTGAATGACCACCCCTTCATAGGGGATTATTGCCTACATTTGGGTATAAATGCTAACTGGAAAACCAAAGAAACGTGTTTGAAAAGTTGAATTTTGTTGTTGATGTTTAAAAAATCAGGCCACTTGTAAAAATCCAGATTTCTGGTTTCTGGGGAAGAAAATTAGATTGAGCAGCAGTGGGCCTCTCTCTCCTCCTGACAGTCATCAGCTAGGGTTGAATACAAGTGTCGCCCTTAAGGTGGAGACTAGCACTCTAGTGTCACTTTGGCATTTGAGTTTGCAACCCTGGACCTTATGTGATAGCTTTCAACTTTTTTTTTTTAAATTTTGAGTTGGAGTCTCACTCTGTCACCCAAACTGGAGTACAGTGGCATACTCCCGGCCACTGCAGCCTCGACCTGCTGGGCTCCGGCGATCCTTCCGCCTCAGCCTT